AAGGCTTTATGCGAAAGTCATCGAAAAGACCAACCAAATAGCTAGAAAGAACGCACAGGAATCAGGGGGCAGATCTGCAGTTCACAGGAAGCATTAGCCAAGGACAAAGTAAAGACACACAAGGCTGCTTCTCAGTACAACCGAAGACCAGAATGTTGAGGATGTGCCGCCGCAGTAAAGCATTCAAGAAGCTGGACTTCAAAAACATAGCGGCAGTAGGTCCCAAAACTACATGACTCAAATTACTTGGTTAAATATCCACCCATCTAACATAAGGAAAAGTGCTGTCTATAAAGAAGCAATAGCAGTGAAAGCCATAAATAACCCAAACACAGGCCACGTGGTGTGAAGCTTCTCCTGTGGCCTTTATCTGCCATCTCAGACTAGTTGATATGCAGGAGGCCGCAAGTGGCTCACAGGAAAACACCCAGCAGATGGTCTAAGAGCAATGGGGGGGGGGGGGGCAATGACTAGAGGGGCCGACGTAAATTAGGGCCAATCATAATGCCATCTTGTCAGTAATCTAGTTATTATAGAAAGGGATCAGATGACCATTTAAGCCTCCTTTGAGCATCTCTTCATGCTTCAGTCACTTGGGGCAAAGTCCCGCCCACAACAGCCCCCGCCCCCCCATCTCGCATGCCAGGCCTACGGAAACCTCGCTCCATTAACCCACAGGCGTCCACTGGGATGCGGGGGGGAGAAAAAAATCCAGGAGTTGCAGCTTGAGTCTGTCAAGGACCCTCTGCTCTGTGTAAAGAGGTCTTATGCCCCCCCCCCCCCCCCGTACCGGCACAGCCCTGAGAATTGTGTGACCTCTATTCACTCGGCCTTAAAATAAGACTGAAAATGTATCTCACATGGTCCCACTCAAGCCCCTTCATAGTCAAGCATTGACACGAAGCTGCCTCGAGCTGGGGGGGGATCCAGCCAATGGGGAAGAGGCCCAAAACCAGACAAATCAACCAAAGTAATTGTGTGGGAGGGTGGGCAGGTAATGATATCACTCTGGTTTGAAGGCACCCGCCCCCTCTCCACCCCCACCCACGTGGAAGGTACCTGACTGCCTGCTTAATGTAAGGGCCCCAGCCGGCGGCGTAGATCAGAGACAGATGGAGAAGCGGAGAATGGAGACCGTCACTGAGCAAGAGCGGGCATGCCATGGACTCTGCCGGCCTGGACAGAGCAGAGCAGGGCGGGGCGGGGGGCACGACAGAGACCAGTGCAGGACACCAGCATCACAGAGAGCCAGCAGGGCCACCACAGCCCAGGATGCCTCCACCAGCGGCGGCCGGCGTATCAGTGACCGATTACCAGCATCAGCTTCACTAACTGTGTCCAAGAACCACCTTCTCCCGTGATTAACAAATTAAAAATCGACCTTTAATTCCATACTCCTCAACTCCTGTGAGGGCGGGAACAATAGTGAGAATCTCCTGCACATCAACCACACAATCATTAGTGAAGACATTGAACAGTGAGGCAGGCAGAGTGCTGGCATAGGACCAGATCTCTCTGGACACTGAAACATACACTAGCCGACTGTGAAAGAAGCAGCCAGCAATCGCTAAGCAAGCCAGCCCCCAAGATCACCACAGCCCGGCGGGAGGGTCCCTGCTTACTGCTCAGCGGAAAGAAAAAAAATATATTACTGCGCATGAAGCGGCCAATGAGGACGTGGCCAGAGCACGCCATGGGAGAGGGAATTAACATCACATCCTGCCGAGTGTGACTGAGCCCTTTGAGTGAGGCAGGCCTGTCCGGAGTCAAACAAACACACTTCTGTCATGTGCCATTCCGACGTGGCTGGACAGCTGCGGCCCCAGCAACCAGGGGTTGGGCGAGACCCCATCTGCCGGGGCGCTGACGCACGGACCAATCACAGAGGGGCTCTTGTCACTGCACAATGGCGCCTCACCACCCGTAGCCAAGGCTCACGCGTCCAGGCTCAGCCAGACAGCTCATAGATGAACTGCTTCCTTTACTCCTTGACGGAGGAGTCGCTCTAATTGTATGATGTTAGTGTGCCCAAGGGGTTGGCCATCGACAGTCCCCCTTGCCTCCCCCCATCTACAGGGCTTCAGTCGTCTCCTCCATTACCCATGAACCTTTTCACAATCACTCCCTTTCAAATTATACATCCTAAATGGCTTTTGTGCCCGGTTTTAATTTCTTACTACATTTCCCATTCAGGGCTTCAGGGCATACATGTTGGGTGCTATGGGCATTAGGTATTAAGAGACTCGATTTCACTTGAAATTGTTCGGTCATTGAGGCTATCGGTCGCAAATGTGGCATGCAGCTGCTGGTGACATTCGCAAGGAGATTTCTGCAGAAACAAAGTCCAGACGGTCGCTTACAGTACAAAGGAAGGGAAGAGGCCGCCAGGGTCTGCTTATGATGTGGCTTTATGGGACATGACAGTGCGGACCCCGGCTTACTCGTCCCAAAGACATCAAACAGACGCCCAAAACATAGACACTCGAGCACTGCCAACTTCCATCTGAGCTTCGAAGCACCAAATCATACCCGTAAAAAAATCTGCAGCTACGGGCCCTCGTCCCCCAGCTGAAGCAGCTTTTCTGCATGCGGAGGGTGGACAGGCTGCAACAATAACCAAACCCAAAACACCACAGCGCCCAATACGCTTCAGCAAACCTACGCGGGGGGTGATGCGTCACGCCATCCCAAAGGGCACACTAACGTGGAGAATGAAACGGCAGGTGACTTACGAGACTGGATTGTCAGCTCGTCCGTTACCAAAAACCCAACCGGTTCAGTCAGGCTGCGAAACAGGTTTCGAGGACATTCAATAATTTGTGGCCAAAAGCACTTTTTCACAACTGCAACTTCATGTTCAAAAACACCAACCTTTCCACAGCATGACATCATCAAATTTTTCTTCCCCAGTGTCAAAACAACTTAATACTACCTTGTAAACACAGGATAATCAACTTATAACTTGTTAATTATTAAATATGAATTCACAGCTTTTCGTGAAGTATTCGTTTTATATTCCAGCCTGAATATAAAGCAGATGAAAAGCAGTGTGATAAACAATTAAAAAGCACCAGAAACACACCAGGTTCTCCGCTCACCAGAACCGGAACATTTGTCTGTGACTCAAGCGTAAATGCAAGCCTATAAACCTTCTGTCAACCTTCAGAACCACTGCAATAATAGGCAGGATTTGAGGGCAGGGTGTCACTGGGACAACATTTTTAAAAGAATCTATCTGCTACTCTTTCTTTGTTTTACCACAATCAAGCTGAGTCATCCTTTGAGGATAAAGACTGACAGCAGACTGTATTGTAAAGGCAGTTATGTCTGACAGGGCTTTTAAAAAACTGCACCATTACTTATGTAATTTCTAGGACACGCTGTGTTCTGATGACTACCACACCATTGTCTAAACCACTGACACTCATCAATACCTTCCAATAGTTTACCTGGGCAGTACACAACTTAAGAATTAACTGAATAGAAACAATTACATAAAACAACTAATGATTGCAGGTAGGCATGTAGATATTACCTGCCTGGTATCAATATACTTAAAAATATATTTTAATTTGAATGAGCTACTTTTTAGCAGATTTCTCACTAAGCATGCAGATTAAGACTGCTGGGCTTGTAGATTCATAGTAATGGATAATTCCACAAACGAACTGGTGCATAAACACCATCCTGAGTGGTGTACAGGACGCAAGGACGAGGTTAAAATATGACCATCCACAAAGCCGGCAGAGCGGAGACAGCTGAATGGTGACTCATTTATTTCCCTCAGATTCTGACTCAGCTTTGGTTCAGGCAACCATTTCTGGTGAAAAACTATAGCGGCTCAACAGCAAGTCATCTACAACAGCAGTGAAACTTGGACAAATCAACAGGAAGGTTCTCCTGCTGTGCTTATTTTACCTTTTCTGTTGTTTTTGCATAGTCAGTCAATACTGAAATTCTCCCACAGGGACAGCTTGGTGTCTGTGCTTAGAGATTTTAAGTTAAAGCCAAGTACAAGTTTCCCATATCCATTCATTACTCTACCCTCCCAGGATACACCTGAGAGCAGCTCTAGTTAATTTGGCCACAGTGTTGCTGCTCACAAATTTCGCACATATAGATCTTCATCCGACTTAAAAGTCCCAGAACAATGATGATGTTTTACATTACTGTTTTACAGTATTCAGAAGGCAAGAATATCAGATTTAACAGACACTGATGATGTCCCCAGACTCTGCGGACCACTAAGCTTAGATTGATTCCATTAGTTTTGTAAAAAAAAAAACAAACAAAAAAAAAAAAAACAAAGACTGAAAGAAAATAAAGCCAAATGCTTTTTCAAGCTCCGGTTCAGCCTGTGTGGGATGCGCCGTAGCAGCCCGGATCCCGTAAGTGCAAGCCGTCTCCCCACATCCCCCTTCTCCATCTGCCAAGCAACAGCTTCTCCATAACAGGATGTGATGTAGGGCTTCGGCACATTATCTTTAAAGCGCTAGGGCAGGGAGTTTGAGAGCAGAACACACTTTTCAATCGGGCGTTTTCCTCGATTATTCCCGTGCTTTGTCGCGACACGATAATAGGTGAATGCAGACGCGGGTGGAGAAGACGGTCCGGGGCGGACGAGTGCAGTTCTCGCGTTTTCACACTAGGGGAAATCGGAGATCCGATGGTGGACGTTCAAATGCAAAAGCTATGCAATTAACGGCGATGTACCGTCTCGTCTGTGGGTATCGTGTCAATCCGATCCGAATCGGGAAAAATCACCGATGGATCCGTGCCAAGCAATCGGTAAAACGAGAAGTCACGCTTGGTAATCCACCGCATTGTCTAGATACTCTTTTCTTGGTCACACCGGATCTCGGCGTCGCGCATCATTTACAGCATTAGTGTGCCACCAGAGAAAAATATGTCAGCCCCAACCAAGCACTGTACCGTGTGCCCATATTCCCCCGATATAAACAGCGTAGCGAACAGTCAAAAACAATACATTTTTAACCAACCTTGTATACTTGTCCATAGGTGCCATTGCCGACTACTTCCACCAATTCAAAAATCCCAGCCGGATCCTGAAAATAATAATAAAAAGTAGCTCAATAAATTGTAAGGAGAATTACTGGCAAATGTGTTTAAGTTGTGCTAAGGGTGGATACCTGGCACGTACGGGTTCAGCGTCCTATATTTCCCTTGCACATGCCAATGCATTGCAAACAAAGGAAAGATAGGAACTCCGCTGACTGCACCCTCCCAGCCCCGATAATAAACAGGCACAAGGCTTGTTTGCCCCAACAAAGGAAATCTGCCCGTTATGAAGGAACCTTGGCGTCGAAGAAGCGAATCCGAAGCGAGCAATAAAGTCGTGAAAATCCTCGATCGCCGCACTAAATGACTGGATAACAACGCCGTCCTTGTCTAGCACTCACCCGCAAAGACGAGAGGTCTATGTCCACCAGACTCTTAGCCGGAGAGTCGTTCGCCATCTTTTAAATAATAAATAAAAAGCGCGGCGTCTTATCCGTGGTGGCTTCACGCTGATCGTGTCTCCGCAGTGCCGTAATGGCTCATGTGGCGCGGCGCTCGCCGATCCCTCTCGGTCGCTTGCAACCGGTCGCAGCCTCGCAGGGACGCGCTACTCCATGTTGAGGTGGCAGGGCTGGCGGCAGCTCGCTCTCCGTGCACAGGAAGCCGGCGAGGGGAATGGCAGCGGGGGAAGGCAGGGCCTCGCTGCAGACTGGGAAGGGAGGGAGGGAGCGAGAGAAAGAGAGAGAGGGGGAGAGAGAAATAACGCTTCTTCGGGAAACCAGAGATTATGGGAGGAAAAAAAAGTTTTTAAAAGGAGCTCCCCCTCTTTCACCTCTGGCTGGGTAAAAAAAATTAACGGAAACACGTTGTTTATGCAGCAAAAAAAGGTACCGAATATATTTCGTTGCGGAAAGGAAGAACCGGCTTTTTTAATTTTCATCCGAGATCGGCTCGCCTGAACCATCAATATTCATAACGACATGGGTGTGGCGAGGCGACAAAAGGTCACGCGTTTTCAAACGCTGACACGTTATTCCCCCCAAAGGCGGAAAATCTCAGCCTCTTGGATTATATTTGGGATGGAAATCGAAGTAGCTATGTACGTACAGGAAAAAAAACGAAGTGTGTTTTTTTCTGGGGAGGTAGGGCGGGGTTCGTTTTATGTTGTATGACAATAGATGTTTATACTGACAACTATATATCTTAAATTCGGCAGCTGTTGTGAAACGAGTCTAAGGAAAAAGTACCGACATTTTTGTATGCAGATGATAAATCAGATGAGAAACAGACTGCCGCAGCTACAGTCCTATATATATGCTCGATTTGCATGAAACGTAATCCGACCGTAATAAAATTAATTAAATTCTAACAGATGCGTTTATGCACGAAAGTTTAAATTCTTTATGCGGAGTATTTTAATGATGCAGTGTTGTATAAAAATATTTTTCTTACGGATGTAAATTTTAATATTTGAGCAGCTGTGATGCAGGCGGATGGAGCAGCCACACGCTCCGGGCCTAAAACCCATGGCCGTGCAGTGACGTAAAGGGACTGGAGCTGCATAGCCGCTGCCTTCTTGCAGATTAGCAGTACTGTCAGATGTTTGCGGCTTGTTACACTGACAGCCCGCTATAGGATGTGTATCTAAGGGCTTTTGGCAACATATGGCAAAAGCCATTTGAAATCAGTCGGCTTGCTCACCTACTGTGCTGTAAGGGGTTCGAATCTACCAATACCAGAGGACCAAGAGTGAGTTAGTATGAGCTGCTTTGGTGCTGCATTACAGACTGGAGCCCAAGGCTGCTGCAGACTGGGGGGGGAGGTAGTGTAACCAGACCCGCTTGGCACCAGAACCGTGTTAATGGTGATGTCACCCTTTGGATCCTATTGGCTGGCCTGTTGGATCAACTTTTCTCTGCAGTGCTGTGTGCCCTGTCCCTTCTTTCTTTTTTAGTTTCTTATATCCTTTATTTCCTTCTTTACTGTTTTTTTTTTCTCCCTTGCTATGATTTTTAAGAATAAGGGAATAAGCAACATGGCTTGCTTAGCACGTTAGCACTGTTGCCTGATTCTGCAACTTGCTGTTTACTGAAGCGATTTGTGTTGAGCAACTTACTGAATGGTGATACATAGCATAGTGATTAAGAACATGGACTTGTAATCTGAAGATTGTTCCCAAGTCTTAGTTACAGTTTGTGGTATAGAAGCTATTGTTAGGATGAGAGCTCAGTGTATTTGGTGCTTCAAATGTAACTTGGTCACTAACTAAATGGTAACGCAAGACAGTCAGGACACAGTAGCCCTCTGTGGTGGAGTTCACCACTTTTTTACATTGTGCCACTTGAAAAGTAGGAAATCAGGCCTATGCTTTAATATAAACTGAAGAAACACTAAGCATGCAGCCTCTTTGTGACGCATTAATAAACTTTTGTCTACAAAAACAATCACACGTATTTCTGCCACAAACATTTCATCTGCTCGATCAGATTAGAGGTTAATTAGAGCTTGTCAGAAGGGAAACTGGACTCAGGAATTTCCCGAGATATTTCGCCATTGTTGTTAGTACTATTGCGCCCCTTCCCCCAATCCTTCCCCTCGGTTCTGATAGTGATGTTTCAGAGGTCCCTACTGGGTAAATTGCAAGCTCTGGATTTTTTCCATTGATCCAGTATCTCCCCCAACCCTAATGTCTTTGTTAACCCTTACACTAGCTATGATGTGTTACTGGTTTTTGTAGCAGTTTGACTGACTGTGATGTAATTATTGCAATTGATTTGAACTGATTCACATAAAGCTGTGCAAATAAGAAAATCTAATCTGAATTTGCTTTTTATCTATAATGAATGAAAGAGAGTATTTGAGTTTTCAGCAGCACTTTGTCCTCAGTTGGGTTTGGTTACTGTTTTGTTTCAAATAAATCGGTCACTGTACAGGGATCTTTCCACTGAAGTAAATGACTTTGTCACTCTTCCATTTTTGAAAGCAAAAAAATGCCCTAGTTTGTGGCACACCTTAAGCTTGTCTGACTTGCTGTTGGCTGGACTCTGTGTCCTGGACAGACTGCCTCTGCAGATCTTTCTGTGTGTTAATTTGACATTCAGTGCAGTTGATCTGACATAACTTTACTATACATGAATAAATTTGTTTAATTAAATGAAGAATACTTTTTAAGTCTTTCTAACTTATGTGGGATTTAAACCAACAAACCTTGTCTGGAGTACAGGCACCTGTTTATTAAACCAGAGGTTCTCTGGTACTCAATCATCTCTAGAGAGATCCCCATGAAATCCTCGCAAGTCGAGGCTCCCAAAATTCCTGTGGTGGTAAAGCGAGATTATTAACTAACAGCTCGTGACAGTTTGTCAGACATTTGGGAAACGTTAAAGGAACCTAGAGACTTCCTCTTGGTGGAAAAACTATTATATTAAGATCCAGTGAAATAATACCTACCGTTTTGACGTGCAAATAGTGTGGACCTGTGGTCCGTGTGATGAGGAAGTGCCACAGTAAGAAGATAACAGTTCTAAACTGACTGCTTTTCACCTTACTAGTCAGTCATTGTACTTAGCCTGTATAAACAGGGTTAGGGCTGGTGGTTCCTTTTTCTCAGGGATAAGGTGAGCAGTTCTGCTCAGTAATATTCCCCATGAACAGGCGCTGTAATAACCAGCCAGCTGTGTGACTTCTCTGTGCATGTCACTCAACAAGGTACCCTGGGGGGGCTTTGCATCTGCTTTCCTTGCCTTTTTTTCCTCTAGAAGGAACTTATGTGTCTCTACAGCGGTTGATCAAGTCAGACCGGTCTTGCGGTTGCTGCAGGAGGGAAAAAAAAAACGAGAAAGGGAGATTTGTAACTCCATGAAATTATTGAGGGTGGGGGGAGAGTTCAGTAACAGAAGTAGGACACAAAAAGTGAGGATTGCTGTTTTTTATATATATTATTATTATTATTTATTGTTGTTTTTTCCTTAGGAGATACACAGCCCAACACTTCTCTGCCCTGCTACACTTTCCATATAGTGTCATTTGATCACTGAGCACTTAGTGTGAGTTTTATAACCCTTAGTGTTATTGTTTGAAAGATACTAGTGTTTAACGGAGTGATTTTGCCGCCCAACAGCAGCACTTCTGTTTGGAGATCTTTGTGTTTTTTGTCGGGGGCGGGGGGGCGGTTAGGTGCTGTTGTCTTTCAGTTGTTCATTTTTATCTTAAATCTGTCAACCTGTTGTATTTGACGTAGGTACCGTTCACACCCAAATGCATTGTGACGTCTGGTTCCTAAGCATTTCTGTAAACCCAGTGAGTTATGTGCACGTTTTCAAAAACAATAGTGAACTCTCCGATGGAGACCTTACCTTTGTCAATGCTATTCATTAACAGAACGTCTGCAGCGAGGTGGCAGTGACGTATTTTTATAAGTCTGTTATCGTATTTGTTTAGCAACCGTCCCACATATGGTACTAACTGTTGCCCTTGATGGGGAACAAGAGCAAGCGGATAAAGGGCAAACAGACAGAGGTGGTTCCAGGCACTTGTCACCCCAACGGTCTCTCATGTCCCAATACAGTCTTCAGCAATTTCAGCATCTGTTTTATCTGTTTAGTCTGCTGATCAGGACCAGCTCAGATTAATAATCATTACATTTCAAATCCTGTTTTCTATGCCCAGTCTTGACAAGGAGCTGATATCGAGGTGGTTATACTGATGGTGGGGTATAGCAAGAATTCTTCACACTCAGTACCTCCTGTAATGGACCACGAACAGCCTCTGTGGTTACAGAATAGGTGTCCCCTGCATGCGCTCTAGCCATACTTCATTTTGATTTGTTTGTCCATGCCGCCGCTCCTCAGTGCCAACCCTCTCCGTCCATCATCCTCCCTAAGGACACAAGAGTGAATATATAAACAAATCGGTTTAATTTTTATAATGCACCACCCCTCCCCCAACATGATCCCCGCAACCAAGAGCAAATGTCTACTGTTGCTTCCATGCTTCTGCTCTAAAATAGGCCTCCTCCCTAGCTACCAATCAAATGTGCATAAATATTAAATACCATACTCCCCTACCACACACACAAATTCACCCAAACTGGCTTAGATACTAGCAAGCCTGAAACAGCTATGGGTTATAACAATTGGAGATCTAGATCCTATATTAATTGAACTGAAGCTGATGGTGAAGTGGACCTCCTTACAGTACATTCCAGGTGTCTCCAGCTAGAACACACTACCCCACCCGCACAGCCACTGCAGTTGCTGTGCCCCGCCTGCATCACCAGGAAAACATTTTCAGGACCACACACTGGGTAAATATGCGAACCTGGAGAAAGCTAGGGTCATGGCTCACTCACTCTTGGACATGCAAGAAATGTTTCTTTGACCAAGATAATCTCCCCTTGGTTTAGCTCAACACACTCCATAGAGTCTGGATTCATGGTGTTTCTCAATGATGCTCCTTTATGAACTGTGTGGGGCAATGCACGTATCTGAGTGCTCATCCACGCCCTTATAGGTGACAATGAGTAATAACCAGCATTTACCATCACTTGTAATCCGGTCGTCATGGTCCATGTCATGATGTGCAAGGATGAGACTGTTCTCAGCTTGCAAAACACCTGACCATGTGGTTACTGATTACAGGGAACTGAGCTGGAGGAATGACTGGGCCATTAGTGCCTCGTACCTTTACTGAGTCACACTAGCTGAGAAAACGCTTCCTGTTGGTTTTGTCTTGTTTCCCCCGTTCTGCCTGAGGTCACTCGATACACTAGCCCTCTGG